AGCGACATCCACGACTTACCCGCTTTTTTAAATTTGGAAAGTATCAAATATTATAAGGCAAAAAAATTTTTTCTTTCACTTTGACTTCTGCAGCTTATAAGTTTTAAAATTGTATTGGTTCAACAATTTACGGTGATATTTCTATGCAATAAATTCTTAGTCGTTTTTGTAATAAATTTGTTTTTAATATTACAGTCAGATATTGTTTTCATTTTTCATTTTATATCAAATTAATTTTAATGATCGATGAAATTGTAGCAATAAAACTAAAACATATGATAGTCTAAATATACACTGTATAACCTTGTAGTATTGGCGGTAGTTTCAATAGAATACCTCTATAAAGAATCTTAAGAAAAAAAAAAGATAAAAAGAATGTCGATTTATATTTCCGTTAATTGAAGGTTTGTGTATAAACAAGCTAATTATTATAAGTAGTCTTCATAATTATATAAAAAATCTTATGTTTTTTGTGATTTTGGATATTTTTAAATCCTACTGTACATACTTAATTATATGGTACCTATTAATAATACTAATTACTTATCTTATAACGGTTTGAKCAGACGTGAGTAAATCGAGACAGTAAACTACCATGCTCACAGCTGCGTCATTGTAATTTGTTAGTATATGTGTTATCTTTTAAAATAATAATTTAAAATTTTTTTTTTTATTTATTCACATATCTATAATTATTAAATTATTCTTAAATTTATTGAAAAACTTTAGAAAGTTATGTATATTGTTGAATTTTCAGAGCTTTTGTACCTGATTTATTTTTCCCTAAAATGTCTAGCTATTTATTTGTAAAAAGTTGCACATAATAATGGAAAAGTCCGTAAGAAATCGTTTGACTCTATATGTCTGTCTGTGTTACATAACGATCCGGTTTACAGTGTTTACGTACCTACCTATAAAACGAACTAGTGAATGCCGATAGCCCATACATTAAACGCGGAGTTATAGTCAGCAAGACATGACGCTGAGTTGAAGCGATGAGTTGATAAATACAGCGTGTGTTGCTTATTAATATTTTTATTAGATACAGACGATTTGGAATTAGTATTTCGTAAGTAGAATAAATTGTATTATCATGTATATATGGGAAATTTAAGAAAACTAATTGTTTTAGATATCATTTTCTAATCAAAATGATTCAATAATATACTGTAGGAAAACACATATAAAATTTCGAATATCATGTAAAAATATAAGATCGTATTACTTTAATTTTAATTAGTTCAGTTTTAACTTATTATTTTAATTTGTTACTGCAAAAAAATGTAAATTTTTCAAACTATTAACTAGGAGATCAAACGATGAAAATTATAAAACTATATGAAATTTATTAAAAGGGTTTAAGGGTGATTATACATGGGTCACACAATTTTTTAAACCACCCCTTCAAAAAATAAAYAAATAAATTTAAAAAAAAATTGTTCCAAACATAAAATTATGGTTTTAAATTAAGAAAAATGATATGGAATTAAAATTGGTAACAAAATTATTAGTTCACAAAAGTAAATATTATATAAGAATAAGATATTTTTAATATTAAATTTA